CAGCTGTGCCCGTGCTGCAGGGCAGCGCAGGGGCCGGAGCACGCTGGGAACTGGTGCCAGGGAGTTGCAGGTAGCATCTCGGACCGTGTTTGCTTGGACCCTTTGTAAAATTAATGGGAGCTGCACTTTTGTTTTTAAATAAGCTTTCAACCCTTTTTAATACAAAAATAAAGGTGAAATTTGAAAAGCAAACCCACACGCACAGCTGTTTGTGCCTCTGTACCCTTCAAACATTACAACTCATTTCCCCTTCAACAGGCTCAGAGAAGCGGACGCACTCTGACTAGTTTCGGGTAGGACGCTAAGGAGCCTGCCACCGTGTCCTGGCAGCCTCGCATTTGCGTTAGGATGGGCAACAGAAACCTCCAGGTGGGTTTTAAACTTGAGAGCAAAGGCACAGCTGTTCCTTCCAGTAAGCAGGTCAAAAGAAAGAATTTTTAAGCAGTATTACCAACTGGATATGGTCATATTTTCCCCCGAAGTGCAGGGCTGGAGACAAGGAGGATAACACTGCAGGACTGGAAGTTAGAGCTGGACCAGGAAAACGTACACAAAAGCTTTGATTAGTCCCAACCCCAAAATCCACATCAGACTTGAAACAGGGCCTTGTTCCTGTGCTTTGCCATCACTGCTCTATCTGGTCAAGCCTCTTAAAGCAGTTTAAATGCAAATACATTTGAAGTATTCAGCATTTATTCCTGTTCCTCCTGCTTTACCTTCACCACTTGGCCATTTTTTCCTCAAAGGCTCGGATCCTCTACTGTCCACTTCCCTCCTCAACAGGACAAAGACAAGGCTTGCCTTCAGTATGGACAGACAGGGCGAGTTATAAATAACTGTAACAGATTACACCTAGAAAATAGTTTTGCATTTTGCTGTACTATTTCTCTCCAATCCAGTGCTGTGTTCAGAACAGCTCGGGGAAGAAATACATACCACATGCCTGAGTCATGCCCTCACTGTTGAAATCGGATACCTGTTAGGAAGGGAACATGCAGGCATTCAGAAGTGCTGTATTTGAAGCCGCTCCGAACTTTTACAATGAAAAAATTACGGCTCTCATACAAACACAACTGTATCAGCCTTCTTGACTCCACAGAAAGAGCACAGATGCAGCCCGGCCTCTGCTAAGAGAAAACACCACCACAAGCCTCTTGGGATCGGTCC